ATATGATTTTCTGGGAGAATCATTAAGATTATATATATATTATTCTTTATGTATATTATTCTATTTATTTATATTGGAAAAACATGTATTAACGACTATATTTTTTCTTTAATTATCTTTAGAATTATCTATTTTACTCTTCATTAATAAAGCTTTCTTTTAATAATGATAAACTATTAATAATTAACATGTTTCTTTACTTAAATTATTACAAAAAGCCAAAAAGAAAATTTTGTTATTTTTATTAATATTTAAATAAAAAAAATTATAAGAACAAATCGATAAAAAATTATTTAATAAAAAATTATTTATTTCAAAAATTACAAAGTATAATACTTATGTAATATACTATATTAATTACATAAATTTGAATGATACCAATGCTTTAAATACATTATTGCATAAATTGTATCAGTAGTAAAGGTGCAAACATTTCTTAGAGTAGTCATTATCTACGTCATCATGGCTATGACGTAAAAGTCACACTACCTTCAGGAATATATTGATGTGACGTTAATAACGTGACGTGTGATATGTGACGTAAAGACGTATATAAGTAAAACTTTTTTTTTTCTTTTTTTATTAAGTAAATTCGGTAAACTTTTCTATAAGACTTCTTTTTCCTATGATCGCAGCTAATTTTTAAAGTATTCTGTTTCCATAAGCAAGATCCATGGTGAAAACAGACACAGTAATTAAAACAGTGAAAAAAAACCTTAAATCTTGACACTTACCTTTTTCAGAAAATACGTGACAAACATGCAAACACTAACTCCGATGGTCACCATAAATTTATCTTTATCCACAAGACGTGCTGCAGGAATTAACGAAAGCTCTCGTTAACCTTGTGAATCAGAATGCAAGGATTAAAACCCGTAGATTCAAGGGAGAGAAAGGGGAAGACCTGTATTTGTGGTTAGAGTTGTACGAGAAAGTTGCAAAAACCTGCGGCTGGACGAGCGATGAAAAATTAGAACGGGTATCTTATTACCTGGAGAAACGTGTGGCGAACTGGTACGAAGTCTGCCAAGATTGTTTCTGCTATTGGAATATTAGGATTAAACGTAAGATAAGCTTTGTGCCAAGTCTTTGTGACGCTCGAGCAATGACGCAATGACAACACATCTGAGAAGATCAGAGTTAGATTGTTCATAAAGGGGCTGAGAAAGAGGATCGCATCAATACTCACCATTAGGAGTGATGCTACGCTAGACGAAGAAATGAAGAAAGTGAGCCTTATTGAGGGAAACAAGGAAAACAAAAAGGTTAGGTGACGACATCCAAGAACCAACCTGACGAATTCGAGAAATGCAACAAACCTGTGGGAGTATTGCGGATAAATCAGAAGTGACAATGAAGAAAAATATACTAAGAGGGTAAAGTTGAAACTCAAGAACCACGATCGGATGACAAAAACCTTATCTTATACCTCCTCCGAAGAAGGAATTGCTAAAGTCACCTGACAAAGGATCAAAGAAGATGAAGAAGGAATCAAAAGAGATATACAGTGAGGAATATGGGGATCCTGGTTGACAAATGAGAGAGGATCACAAACAAGGAACAAGCCGAATTCGGCACCTTCTAACAAAATCCAACAAACACTGACTATACATCCAGAGCCCTAATGCGTACCCGCGTTAAGTAGAAAGGTTATTGACTTTAGTTGGAATAAATCAATGCATGCAAGAAAGGAAAAGAAGGTGCAATCCACTCGGATTCAACGCACCTAAGTTAAATGATATGAACATGGTGTACGAATCGCAACCAGATGACGTATACTTACCTACGAGAGAGAAACGAGAAGCCATCAAGAGGAATAACAATGAAGGAAGCAATGGTAAAGGAACAATATACCATCATGATGATGGAGATGGGCGAAGGAAAAGTTCAGCTAAATGATGCGATTACATATGTACCACCAAGAAAGAAGCTGCCGAAACCACCTGACGAAAGTTCGAGAGTAAGAAAAGAACAAAAGAAGAGGGAAAAAGGAGTGTTGGAGAAGGTGAAGGCAGATGAAAGGAACGGTTACATTACAGATGCACTGCTTGATAAGTCCAACCTCTTTACGTTGTCCCAGCATGCCGCTTTAAATATATCAATATCGGAAGACATCATCACATCAATAGAAGAATCGACAACGATGACGAGTATAAAGAAATCCCAACCAGACGACGCGAACAACACATACTTACCGCCGAAGCTGCATGATGAAGATACAGATCAGAGGGCAACAAAGGATATCGACGATAGTAAAAGGGCAGAAGAGAAAAAAGGTTGCATCACGAATGAGCTAGTTATCAAACCTGTACCCATCACTATCCGATCAATCCTGCCACAGATGCATTGTGATCATGATCTTTTATTGAAGCTTGATGTTGACATATCGCCTGGAAGAAAGATCAAGAAAGTTAGAGCGTCCAGCTCCTCACATGACCGCGTTAATGTATCGCCATCATCAGAGATTTCCCCATTCATTAAAGAGCATTGCTACTAGTATGAATAAGAAGGTTAGGTTTAGTTTTATACATGATGCGCATAAAATAGGCACGAGAGAATGTCGTGAACAAATAAAGGGTGCAGTAATGCAATATGTATTACGTTACATAATTAGTGTTGTTTGGGAGGAACAGGTGGAAATTAAGGAGTAGAAAAAATTAGAGGTATAAACTTTTAGAATAGTGTAGAATAATCAATCAATGTAAACATGTAAATAACAGGAGCATATATAAACACATGCGCAATTCAGGACTTTTGAAGGGAGATTAGCAATTAGCATTCAATAAATCCCTAAGTTTATTAAGTATGACCTATTATTGATTTTGACTTTCACGTTTTAAAAAACTATTTAGTACATCATGTGGATTATAATCCAGATCGGCAGGAGAGATAATTTGAACTGTTTCTAATGAATTATCTTCGACTGTCAAGTCAATAATCTCCTTAATTAGTAAGATTGTGGAACAATCGGATATAGTATTATCTAATGAATTCTCTTCACTAACTCTTATTTGATCCCTTTCACAACTTATAATATTACCGATTGATGTTATATTACATGCATCCCAAAGATCAACCTTTATTAATTCTTTACCAAACAAATTTAGCTCACGTCGAATATTAGTCATATAATATGATCTAATTTTAGCCATTCCTTCTAATTTATATAGA